CCCTGTGTACATAGGCCTTTCTGTTCTCCCATGGTTAATTGTTCTGAGGAGTGTGTCTACCTGGTATAAATGTTCACCTTTTATGCCTGTCTATTGTTTGGCTGGAAGCTGCAGGAGTGAGTTCAATTCCAGGCCTGAAGGGTGATTAGGGGCCATGGTCTCAGGGGTTTTACCAGTCTCTATCAGTAACAAGGTTACTTTAAATACTAAGTGAGAGGCACCAGATAAAAAGATAACCATACAATGCTAGAAGAATCTGGAGAGATGCTCAGTTATCAGAGAAATGCAAATCAGTGAAATATAATTTTATATTTATTATTGTTGTAGTAGATCATAACAAATTATGGATAACATTGAAAAGAATGATAATTCCAGAACACTTGATTGCACTCATGAGGAACCTATACATAGACCAGGAGGCTCTCATTCAAACAGAGCAAGGAGATACTGCATGGTTTAAAATCAGGAAGAAAGTGCATCAGGGTTGTATCCTTTCACATAGTTATTCAATCTGTACACTGAGCAAATGATCTGAGAAGCTGGATTATATGAACAAGAACATGGCATCAGGATTGGAGGAAGACTCATTAACAACCTGTGATGCACAGACGACACAACTTTGCTTGCTGGAAGTGAGGATGACTTGAAGCACTTATTGATGAAGATTGAAGACTATAGATGGACTCTGGACTACAGTATGGATTACACCTCAATATAAAGAAAACAAAAATCCTCACAACTGGACCAATAAGCAGCATCACAATAAATGGAGAGAAAAGATTGAAGTTGTCAGAGATTTCATATTACTTAGTTCTACAATCAACACCAATGGAAGCAGCAGTCGAGACATCAGATGACATAGTGCATTGGGCAAGTCTGCTGCAGAAGACCTGTTTCAAATGATGAAGAGCAAAGGTGTCTCCTTGAAGACTAAGGTACGCGTAATGCAAGCCACAGTATTCTCAATTGCCTCATATGCATGTGACAGCTGAACAATGAATAAGGAAAACTGAAGAAGAGTTGATGCTTTTGAACTGTGATGTTGACCAAAAATGCTGAAAGTAGCATTTTGTTGTTGTTGTTATGTGCCGTCGAGTCAAACCCGACTCATAGCGACCCCTCCTTGGGTTTCCGAGGCAGTATCACTACAGAGGTAGGATTGCCCAACCTTCCTTCCGAGGAGTGACTGGTGGGTTTGAACCGCCAGCCATCTGGTTAGCAGGCAAGTGTCTTAGCCACTATGCTACCAGAGCTCCCTACCATAGACTGCTAAAAGAACTAAGAAATCTGTCCTGGAAGAATTGCAGCTGGAATGCTCCTTGGAAGCGAGAATGGCCAGACTTCATCTTACCTGCTTTGGTCATGTTGTCAAAGGTACCATTCTCTGGAGAAAGATATCAGCTTGGTAAAGTGGAGGGTCAACAGAAAAGGGGAAGGCCCTCAACAAGATGGATTGACACAGTGGCTATAATGATGGGCACAGGTATAGCAGGGATCGTGAGGCTGGCACAGGATGGGACAGTGTTTCGTTCTGTTTTACGTAAGGTCCCTGAGTCGGAGATGACTCAGTGGTACCTAACAACAACACAGCATTGTTGTAGTTAGTTGCTAGTTGCAAATGAGTCAGCTCTGACTCATGGTGACCCCATGTGCAAGAGAATGAGATGTGGCCCAGTCCTGAGCCATATTCACGATGGTTGGCATGCTTGAGTTTATTGTTGCAACCACTGTGTATCTTAAGACTGCCTTCAAATCTAGGGGACTCATCTTCCAGCACTGTGTCAGAAAATATTCTATTGTGATCCTAAGATTTTCACTGGCCAATTTGAAAATCAGATCATCCTTCATCCTAGTCTGTCTTAGTCTGGAAGCTACACTGAAACCATCGATGACCCTTCTGGTATTTGAAATATTGGTGGATAGATTCCAGCATCAGCTACATGCAAACCACCACAATAAGACACACTGACAGATGAGCAGTGATTATACCCATTCAGCTGCCAACATTTAAAAAATTGGATAATGCCATGTGTCATAAAATCCTTTCTTTAACTAACTCTTTTTGGAATCTACCTTAACCATGTGGTTTGTACAGTCATAGGGGAACTGGTTGTGGGAGTAGAGACTGGTGCCACCATTGAGAATATACATGCCCTATTATTTACTTCAACAACATAATTTACTTCTAGGAGCTCTGGTGGCATAGTGCCCAAAGCATCTGACTGCTAACTTGGAGGTTGGTGGTTCAAACCCACCAGTTGCCTTGCAGAAGGAAGATGGGACAATCTACTGCCATAACAATTTACCACCTCAGAAACCCAAGTGAGGTTACTATGAGTCAGAAACAACTTGATGGCGGTGAGGGTGTTTTTTTTTTTTTTTTTAATATATATATTTTACTTCTAGATATATGTTTGAAAAATGTTCTCATGTGAGACTGTAAGGGCCATGTGGTAGTGAGGGCTTGGAAGCACCCTGGAGAATTATGCAACAGTGAGAAGCACTGGACAAGGTTGATATCATTGTTATATATGCATCAACATGAAGCGGTCATAAAAAACATAGAGCTGAGTTGAAAGCATTACATTTATATATACATACATATATATATATACGTATATATAAATGTAATG